CACCATGGTCCTCTGTTGTTTTTCTAATTTGACACATCTCAGGAGCTCAGCTAGTGAGTCCTGGATTAGGGAAAGGATGAATGATTCCCCTGAACACTGAGAATCTTATGAAAACAATCTATTAGAACTCTCCAATAGTGCTTTATGGTGCTGTGATGCATTATCTATGACAGATGATGTATTAGTGGATTACTTGGATTAGTGGTTTTATTTTTTCCTTTAGGAGTCTCATTTCTTTAATTTGCTTTTTAGTTTTAGTCCTTTTTAATTTTTAACTTAATTTTATTTTTGGACTATGGTAACTATTAAACTTACATGAAAATAATGTATATACTTTAAGAAGTATCAATACCTCCTTAATGCCTCCTGCTGCATTCTCCAGTCCTCCTATCTCCGACCACAACCAGAGTGATTTCTTATATATTTCTTGTATTTCAGTTTGTAAATATAAGTACCTCTTTCTTCTCTCTTATAATTTTTCCCATTTTCCCTTTTTTCTTTCCCAATAGTTAGCACATTAGCATTTTACTTTTTCTTAAAATTATCTCCTAGAAACATTTTGATATGTGTTTATTGATGTGCTTTTTATATTGTAGATATACCATGAGTCATGTTAAAATTTTTATATATTTATTTACATATTTATATAAGCTATGTTATAGTTTGTAGTGTGTCCCTTAATTTATTCAATCAGACTTCTATGCTAATACAATTAGTTTTTAACTATTTTGAAACTATTAATAATGGAATAAAGAAGAATATTATATACATGCATTTTCATAATATAAATCTATGAATATGTATTAACCTAATGTGCACATAACCCAAGTTAAAAATGTACTCACAATTTTAATTTTAGATCTAGCTTTGTGGTAATCTACATATAATTTTATCAAAATGAGAAAAAAAATTGGTATATAATTGTTGTAAATGTGAAATATAGAGTTTGCACAATAAATCTGTTTTTCTATTTGGTGAAATAAATGCATTTCTTTATACAGCTCAGCCTATTCTTATACAAATGAAAATGTTATGCTTGAGCATTAAGAGTTAGTATTTAAAATACAACAGCAATTAAAGGAACTAAGAATTTCTAGAGGGGAAAGCCTTGATATTAAGTATAATAATTACTGATAACTTTATTTTAGACTCATTAGAAGATATTTCAAGTTGTGTTATTTTTTCTTTAGCATTTCAATGTGTGTGTGTTTATGTGTATATGTCATACATATGTGTATTTTTCCACTATGGGGAATGAAGCCAGGAGTTCTTTACCACTGAATTATATCCTTAGGCTTTTTTTTTTATCTTTTTTTTATTGGTTGTTCACAACATTACAAAGCTCTTGACAAATCATATTTCATACATTAGATTGAAGTGGGTTATGAACTCCCAATTTTACCCCAAATGCAGATCCCTAGGCTTTTTGACTTTTTATTTTGAGACAGGGTCTCACTAAGCTGCAGATGTTGTCCCTGAACTTAACCTCAGGTTTCTCATCCTCTGGACTCAGCCTCCTGAGTCACTGAGACAACAGGTGTGTGCCACCATGGCCAGCTGAGTATAAATTTTATAGACACTTTATACTTTGAACTAATTATAATACCCTAAGATTTCTAGAGAACAAGAGCCTCGGTATCGATGACCTTGGGTTGAACTTTGTTTATAACACTATTTCAGAGCCACATGTTATAAAATCAGTACCCATAAAACTTCAATAATAGGCCAATATTTTTCTCTTGAAAAGAATGTAGCTTTCAGCCAAATTCAGGAGATAGTAAATTTAAAAACTCAAAAGAAAACTCTGACCTCTGGCAGTTCTTCCATAATTTCCAGTTGGTGAAGGGAGAAGTTGCCAAGTCCTATAACTCAGAAGGAGGATGTAAATTCAAAGGATTCAGAGCAAGGGCACAGGGTGGCTCTTTGGAAAGCCTCTATTTGTTAGGACACTAATAAAAATTAGTAGCCTTCCTGGTAATTCAATTTATCTACATCATCTCGATCCCTGCTTAGATAATGTGGACATAATAGTAACCAAATAGTCCTGGTACTTCTTCGTATTGTGCTGGGTACAGTAGACTAATGTCTAGACTCTTGTTTTCTCTGAGGTAATATTACCAGTAATCAAGCCAGAGAGCCTGCCTGAATCCTGGCTGGCTGGACTCGGCTGCTTGCTATAAGAAATGAGCAAATATGAGCAAATAAAAAATGAATTTTATGCAGTTAGATCAAATCGGGGAGAAGCAACAAAATTGAAACCAGGAAGACAAGGCTTTACTCCTCATCATTGCACTATAACTTTGGAGACAAGTAGAAAAGGAAAATGGGATTATTCAAAGCTAGCTTTGAGGAAGATAAAGGAGAACTTTCTGTCTCAAATAACCATCTTCAGGGATTCAGGGGCTCAGAAAATTTTATAAGAAAAGAGGTACAATGGGATAAAAGGCAGGAAACATGCATATATAGATTTAGTTAGGCTGTGATTAGCCAGAGAATATGTTGATTTTAACTCCTTGGTGTCTGTCCCCAGCATGGAGGAAGTAAAAGTAGTTTTTGTGAAGTTGCTTTTAATTTCAAAGAGGGTCTATTTCAATAAGACTTTGGGTTTCTTTCTCAATCATACCCTGAATTTCACTTGGATATTAGGTCCCTGATCTAGTGGTGTTGCTGCATGTAGCTCAACAGAGCAATAGTCCTTTTGTCAATCTGTAATACTTGTGTCTGGGTAGGGATGCTAGCAGTACTGGCCTCCAGCTGAACCAAAGAACCCTGTCTGTTTCTCCTTCATAGTAGATTCCTAGCGCTTTCATAACAAAATGCTATGAACTGAGTGGTTTAAACAGTGGAAAGTCATTGTTTCAGAATTCTTGAGGATAGACCTCAAGGAAAGTATCAGAAGAGTTGTTTCCTTCTGAGAGATTGTTAATGTTAAGAGCTTCTGTTTTAGTTTCTGGTAGTTTGCCATAGTATTTGGTGTTCCTTGCCTTATAGTTCTAGAACCTCAATCTCTGCTTGATCCTCTCAAGACATTCTCTTAGTGTACATGTCTCTAATCCCCAAAGCTGGTTTTTGTAAAGATATTATTCATATTGGATTAAGGCCTACTCTAATGATTTCATTTTAACTTGAATATTTTTTAAAGAGCCTATTTTCAAATAAAATCATATTCTGAGGCACTAGAGTTTATAAATTCTGTATATTCACAGTGGGGTGCAAGAGGTGGAAGACATTTCAACCCCAAACTATTTTTCAACCCCCAAATATTTTTTCATCCTTCCTACATGTAAAATACATCCAACCCATCCAACATCCCCCAAAGTTCAGCTATAATTTTAAAATCTCATCTAAAAATCATTAACTTTAAGTTCCAAAACTTATCACCTAAATCATTAAAGTAATTATGTGTGAGCCTTGGGATTATGATTCAACCTGAGGAAAAAAATGTGTTCCACCAATGAACCTATAAAACTATACATCAAGATTTCTTCTCCTAAAACAGGCATAGGACACATATTCCCATTCCAAAAAGGAAGGAAAAACAGGGGATCACAAGTCTCAAGCAAACCAGGATTGGGCAGGGCAAGT